GCACGCTGGTTCTGCTGTCTACAGTAATGAGGTATGCTGACAACAAAATATAAGTGAGATTTCAGGTTCTTACGGCGGCGATTATGAGTTTGAGTTTATTTACATTCCATAAATCCTTCTTTGGGCTAAACCAAAGGATGTAGAACATGTCACAATACAATTGCAGAGCTTATTTTACATACAGATGTACATATATTTCAGAATTGTCAACACAAATACAACTTTATTTTCACATACAGTGTTGTCAACAGAGGTAAACCCATTTACAGAGTAGAAGGAGTGAGTTAAAGATAATCATTTAATGCAGGCTTAAATACACTTATATCATGGGTTCAACTTTTAATTGTAGGTGGAATATTATTGGATAACTTGATACCTGTATAGTATACTCCTTTATGATAATTGATGAAGCTAGTGTTTGGCATATGAAGGTTATGTTTACATCATGGCTTTAAATTATGTACATCTGTATTTGTTTGAAATTTGTCCAAGTTTACCATGACAAATGATAATAAGGAGAGTATATATTTGCTTGCAAGTGGAAGTATAGTCAATTTCCAAAATAATTTCCTGCAAGATACTCTGATTTTAACACTTGCCATTATTCACAGAAATGCCACCAACAGTCTCAATTCTTATCTTAGATTTCTGAAAATAATTAGATCTCACACACATCAGCAGACTACAAAGTTCACAAACACCAATACACAACTTTCCTTTTAATTCTTCAAAGCTTAAGTTGTTGCAACTGATTTAATACCAATTTATGTATCTGCCCACTGACAACCATTCGAGCTAACTAAGTTACTTTTAGTTAGTGTGTTCATGAGTACCGGTGTGCACTTGTGTATATGTGTAATATTATTTCAGATGACCAGGAAGTAGAAGTGAAGAAATGTAGTGCTGCTCTAATGTCAAATGTAATTTGATGCAAGGTGAAACATGTCATGTGTGCCTAATACATTATTGACTTTAAATGAGGCCTCTGTAAAGAGGAAAATGTGTAAAATATGGAATGTTCTCCAGGTGAGTGTCAAATTTTCATCAAAATCTTTCTTTAACTTTGAAGTAGTAGTGGGGATGTCATTTACAGTATGCCTTGATCATGCAGGTATTACATGTGCACAACATATCTCAACAGTTGTTTTCCTTGTTTCTACTTGATCTGTCTGGCCATGTCGAGGTCTGCAAGAATTTAATAATGGATATTATAAAATTATGAATGAGTTCACTACATGATCTTCAGCAAGTTTACTTGAATATGAAGGCCAGTTGTGACATGAAAAATATACTTATTTTATCATTTAAACTCATATTCTGAAAATTCAACTTCATTTGATTTCCTCATGTATTAATATTGTATATAAGTTTAATGGGTCTTCATGCAACTTATAGTGCCTTATTGTGTTAGTTTAATTAACACTTTATTGATTACAATTTTTATTTGTAACCAGGAAACAAACAACAACCTTATTGCTTGTGACCAGTTGCTGCAACATTATTCAAGCAGAGCAAACTCCAATGAACACTGTAATCTGCAGAATGTATCAACCCAGACATCAGTGCCATCAAAAATTTCCAGCACAACACAGACTTTTGTTCCTTCATCAGTAAATGTGGCATCTCAGATACTTTCATCTTGTGTGAACACACCAATACATAAGACCACACAGACAACGTCTTTGCAGAATGAGGTTACTGATACAGGGACAGTAAAGACAAAAGACAGTATTACCCAGACACAGTCCGAACAAGAAGCACAAAGTGTGGGACTGCGGACCCAGAGTTGTGTGTGTTCACTATTGAGCAGTGAATTTGAACAGAATAAATGTTTGAGGTTATGTCATGCACATTATAAGGCTTTCAGATCATGTGGAGATTGTGAGTTTACAGAAGTGGAAGATAATAAGACTACACAGACAACTGACTGGATGGATACAAAGGTTTGCACTCTTTATTCATTGTCTGAAAATATATTTAAGTACAGTATCTGATATTAAAGCAAATCTGAAGCTATGTAAGTCTTACCTCTATTTTTACCTGTCCGATATTAAGCCTGTCTTCCTTCTTAAGGAAGAAATTAGGCCTAAAGGGTCATTATGCTACCTGTATGTCCCACAGTTTTTATTTTTAACTAGTTGAGCAATTGTCATGAAATTTTGTGTGAGTGATTGCCATTGTTTTATCCTTGCAGATGTTGCAGAGGCACCAGAAAATTGTGGATTGCTTCTCAAGCCTGGAACAGCACTGCCAAGACATGGATCTTAGACTGGGGGTGAGTCGTTATGTTGAGATTTTGATGTTTTCGCATCGGTAAATCTTTGGATTGCTGTCTTGTAGTGTCACCCATCACCTCCGTATTCAGGGCAGAAATGTCTTTGATTTTTTGGTAATTATCTATAATACTACAGAGCTCATAATCACAAAGACCACATCGAAAGAATCAAGTTCTTGATTCTGTGTTTCTATAAGCTTTCGTTAGTTTCTGTTGATTCCTACTTGTCAGTATCACACTTTATTACAGCGGTAGTTATTTGCAGAATAACCAAATATAATATTCTTTATGCATTTAAATATTCTGTCAGACTTTATCCATGGCCTCCTCAATTCTCCTCTTCCATTCGGTCCTATCATCCGATGCTCCGTTAGGTCTGTCTGTCCGAGGCTTTGATTGAGGTTTTGAAACATCAGACCAGAGAGCCATAGATGATGAAGAAGAAGAAGTTGGACTTTATCCATTTTCTAGGCGTTTTATAATTAAATCACACTGTTTCTGAAATTGCCTCTACTTCCATTGTCGACCAGTGGGAGGTCAGAATCTTATTTTGATCAGGGGGTGCAGCATTCCACCCACCAGTCACATGGAGATGGAATTAGAACCAACTTCAAATACAGTGCAGTTGTAACAGACAATGGATAACGTGCAGCAGAATAATTGTATACATCATGTCACTTCAATAGTATTTTTTATGTTCCGCCATTTAGGAAGTATGTTTGTAACTTTATTTTCATGCCCCTCGAAATGTATCTTCATGATGGAGTATGCAGGTGGGAGTACAACTTCCGCTTTATGATATGTGTGTTTGTTCACCTGATGATTCTGTATACTGAGGTGAGAAATGATGACACTCCATTCTAAAATGTTTATCACTAGTTTCAGTGATTTAAATTTTTTATTCAAGTTTATAAATATATGACTACAACTACAATGATAAGTACAGAGCAGATACTATAATAATTTTTACAAAGAATCATAATTCAAGATATTAATCCATTTTGGTACACATTAGTGTTGTTTGTATGGTCTGTACTATGAGATGCTATGTACAAAGTTTTCTTAGTATGGATGTTAAATTGATGATTTATGATCATAATAATTGTCCGTGGGGCGCTCAAATCATTATATTATTGCCCTTGCTGTAATTCAACTGTAAATTGCGACAGCTTTAAGGAAGTCCAGTTCGTCGATATAACAGCTCTCTGCAACAAAATTCTGAACTTTAAACTTTTTGGTGGATTTCCATTTTTTCTGTTGATGTAGTTTTCATGTCGTGTCATTTATGTTAATAGTACTATAGTTATAAATTTTTTGAATATTCATATATGGACAGAATGACTTATTAGTCTCTTATTAAGTGTCTTCTACTGCTGGTGATTCTTTATGACATATGATGATAATTTTCGCTGACTGCTGAAAAATGCGTGTCTTTTTTCTGTTCTTATACACCACTTCTGATTTATTTTTTAATATTTAGTGGTATGAGGATCTTTCTTTTGTTGTACTTTCGTCATCTAATTTTCAACCAGATTTGAAGTAATGTCAACTTTTCAACTCTTAAATAATACTCTAGTTTCTTAAGACTTTGTAGATATTTTGATCTGAGAGGAAAAATTACAGAGAACCGCGGCCGTAAATATTTAAGTTCATCTCTTGTTTTCACATAATATTTCACTTTGCTGTCATTACCAGTAATGCAGTGGATCCGCATACTTGGTGTAGGCAATCGGAGCTGCGTATGCCAACTTTGCTATTGGCGCCGTGTACGCAAATTTGGTTATAGGAGCAGTGTAGGCAACCTTGGCTACTGGTAGAGTAGGGAGAGTGAGAGGTGCATGGTAAGATGTGATTGGTGCGTGGTATGCGAGTGGTGCAGTGTATGTCAGAGGTAGGCTGTGGGCACCATAGCCAAAACCATAGCCAAGATCCAGCACTCCACGCTTCTGCTTGGTGGATGCAGGCACTTCGGACGCAAACGCTGCGGTCACGGTCAGAACGGCTATTGCCACCTGAAACACAGCTGTATTTTAGGTCGTCTCCTTCCTTAGCGGAGTAGCTTTTCATTAGCATGGTGAAGATTGAAATTTACGTCTTCTTGTGACACAATATCAGCTACAAAGGTTGTTTATCATCAGTTGAGGTGGAAGGAAGATTATGAATTGGGAAGGATGGGGGAAGAAGAAGTGATTAAGGGAAATCATGGTGATCAGATATTTGAACCAATACCTCCTGAATACATGAGCCGGGATAGCTCAGTCAGTATAGTGACTAGCTACGGGCTGGACGACCCGGGTTCGATTCCTGGAGCCTCTGTGTCCAGACCGGCTCTGGGGCCCACCCAGCCTCCTCTAAAATGGGTACCAGGGTCCTTTCCCAGGGGTAAAGTGCTGACCAGACCACTCGCCCCCATCTAGTGCCGAGGTCAAGAAAGAGAGGAGCTATACCTCCACTCACCCCAAGCGCCTGTATGGCGTATAGCGGGACAACTTTACATTTACCTCCTGAATACATCATTTACAGTAGCACGAATCATAGTATAATGAATGACTTATGGGAAGGGCTTTAGTGATGTAACTTAAATCTATTAGCCACTTAATGATATACACTGAGCCGTAGCATCTTGTTGCGTTTGCTGTCGTGTTGGAGTAGTAACAAACACTGTAGCTAACTTGACTCTGACAGTGAGTACCATTGCATTTCATGTGCTTTCCTTCAAGAAAGTACATGACCGCAATCTTTCTTCGATTCACAAGAAGCGATAAAACTTAAACTGACGGTGATCCATCATGCAAAGACAACGCAGTAAATTTATTCAGTGATTGAGGTTATTTTGTAAATTTAAGCTTTGAAATTGGAATGGAATATTTTGAAACTATTTGTTTCCTCAGTTTTTAAAAAAATGTAAAACAAATAAAGTTTACTTATTTTCAGTGTTTGTTGACTCACTTGTGACAAGTGGGTTACATGAATCACCTCTGAAATATGAAACACAATTTGAGCGGACAGTTGGCAGCTTTACAAGTTTTTGAAAAAAAAATTAATATTACCAAAGAAAATAAAAGGAATAGAAAATTTGATTGTTCCAACATACATCGACTCGAACAGCGAACAGTGAATGAATTTAGAGTTTTATCCCCTACTTCCTTGAACTCGGACTGTGTTACTGACAGTAATATTGGCAGTAACTTAAATACATGAGACTTACCAGAAACTTCATGATGGAACTTGTGTGAGGTTCGGAACTGTTCTGTCGTCTTACTGATACTGCACACACACGTAGTTGTCCCTCCTTATATACAGATGCAGCAGCTCCCCCCCCTCTGCCCCAGAGGCAGTGTCAGTTCTTGTGAATTCTCAAATCACATTTCCCTCCCATCGGAGATTTCCACATGTCTCACCTTGCTCCCTTTTTCTTAGAACGACAGTGGCGTATGTCACCTACAACACTTTCCAGCGTCCGAATATATTTAATAAGCAGTTTTTACCATTTCTTTGCCTTATTTTGACAGTCTCGCATTTAGCTGTATATAAAGTGGAAGTAAATTGGAGCCAAAGGACTGCTATTTAGCAGTAATTTCTCATGCTTTAGCAGTCTTGGACCGATGGAACATTGTGTTTGCTGATTCGAACCCCTTGTGGGGAAAGATTGTGTATCTGCATGTTTGAATCTTGAGTTATTCTATGAAGGCACGTGTCTTGTGATGGCCCATTCATTCTTACAGTTGGTCCTACCAAATATCTGAAGGATTTATTGTTTTACATTCGTGAATCCTTTGAAAGTTGGTTCTGGTCCCCCAGTTGATGAACACTGGTCGTGACACGGAAACGATCAAGGTAGAGTGCCTCTATTTCAGGCTCGGATGTCCGCAATGGGATCCACGTGCTTAGGACACAAGCCGAACACTTCATCCATCCGGCATTAAGCGTCTTATGTCGATGTTGTCCTGAGTTGGACCTCCTTGCCACTTTCCCTGAGTAGAATTTACCGCTGTACGACGCTTCTAACGTAATAATGTCCCTCCCATTTGTGACTGTGTTCGGGATCTACTGATTTTTTGTGGGTGTTTCTAAAAAAATATCCTGTGCGTAGATCCGCGTCTCATATTTTGAAAACCTCACTCTGTGTTCTCGTTAGACCGCCCTGTCCTGCCAGAGGTTTCGCCCATCGTATTCGAGCAGGGTAGCTGGCGTCTTCGTCTTATGGAGGTGCTCATTTATAATCGTTTCCGTGCCACTACTGTGTCGTATTTTTCGTGCATTTTCTTACTCCGTGCAAAATGATGGCATTGTGTCCTGAAGTAGACCACGACCGCTTCCATCTCATTTATTTTTACTGAGCAGTACACACGGTCTCATGTTTTAAATGTATGCACTATCTCAGTTGATCTAGCGCTGTTAAAAGACTGAAGCTTGTGAATTTAATTAACACTTTTATTAAAAGTATAAACGAGATGATAATGTTGCGTCATTATTGTGTTGAATATATACTTGCTCAATTTTATCAGTCAAATCACAATAAAATATTATTATTAAATGTTAAAATATTAAAATAGTATAAACGTTGTCTCTGACGAAATGTCTGTCGTTTGGCAACGCTTTGGACGAGTTACCAAATTCTGGAGAACAGATTTGGCCGTGGTGGCACAGTCCCTTGACCGCTGAGGTCACCTGATTTAACCCCAGGACTGAAGTACTTGCCATAGTGAATTAATTAGCACGCACTTAGCTTTTTTTTTTTTTGTAAAATGCGTGATATGTAGGTAAGCTGCTCTGTCAGCACGGAGGAATGAGTCGATGTGAGTTATTGACGTTGACGAAAGCGAGCGTTTTAACATGTGCAGCTGATAAATAAAACATTTGCAGCTCGGTGCAATCGAGGGCAGATCTGTGCCAAAGTCACATCCGGACAGGAACGCACGATACCTTGTAGAGAGGACATTTCTAAACAAGGACATGGCGACCGATCCGATTTATAGTTGTCGTGATCTAGTGTGAAT